AAAATATATTCTGCAACCCTGTCTCCTCGTTGGTTACAAATTTCAACCCTCCGCATACATGCCTTCCCCTTCACCCGCTCGTAAAATCACGCGTTCTCGGTAGCATCGAGGAGGACTTCTCAGGACCGAAAAGAACTGAGGATTCGAATGGTCTCTGGAAAAGTACGTCGCAGAACTGATTAGTACTTACCAGGTCCATCTAGGTCTGGAGAGATCTTGAAAGACCTGTGTACGTCCAATCAGAACCAAATCCTCGACTCGGGTACCTCTTAAATTTGGCGAAATTCTCAACTCTCAGACTGTCAGGATTTGCATAGAATGATGGCATCCGTCGTTTCCATCACTACTTGAATTTTCTTCTTATAAATTTTATTCCTCCACCCATTCGCCAACCGATCTGCGTTATGGAATTTTCTACTACATTTTGAGAGATTACTGACATTAAAAACGGTCCGCGCTTTTGTTGGATAACCAATTTTCATTATGACAAAATGTCAGTTAATTTAATGAAATGACGAAAATTAACAGATAACCGATTTCTTTTACAGGCGAAATTGGACAAGGGTCACAACGGTAAACCGTCAAAAGTCATCCACATAAGAAATATCGCCAGTGATGTGTTGGAGTCAGAAATAATTCACTTAGGCATGCCCTTTGGAAGAGTGACAAATGTTCTCGTTCTGAAAGGAAAAAATCAGGTAAGTTTTCGGTTTTTCATCTCATTTTCGCATGAAACTTATTTGGCTTTCAGAAATTTTTACCAAAACTCGGAGAATATCCAGTAAAGCTAGTCCCAAAACTCCAACGTTTTACTGAATAATTTTTCAATTATGACAAATCAATAAGGTGCTAAAGTGATCACTAAAATTTAGAGATCATTTTAAACAAATTTTTCTTTTCGTTCCACTGTCTGTGTATTTTGCATTCAGAGAAGACATCTGTTCTGAATGTATGAAAATTGAGATAGACTATTTTATATTCAATATAATTCAATAGAATTATTATTATTATTATTATTTTTAATGTATTTCCGCATACCCCATGCACGTTATACCAATATATATGCTAAAAATATTTAATTTTTCATTCTACGATCGTGAAGGAATTAAAATTCATCATTTGATCGCATTTGCCATTATGAATCTGTACACTATTTGCAAGTATAATCACCACAGTTAGATTGAAATGAAAGAAGGAAAAAAGTATATATTTTCACGGATTCCCTCTGCAATGAATAATAAACAGAGGATTAAATTTTCCGAAATTCGTATAAATTCACCCGACTTGACTCGTCAGTTTTTAATTTTTTTTTTAATGAATAATTATTTTCTTTCACACGAATATTCTATGTATTGAATTGAAATAGGGTTTTACGTTTGATTATACAAGTGCACTATTCACATGGAAAACATTTGTTAATTGATCCCGACGGAGCGTGATTTGGCCGAGAATTAAACGAATGAATATACCACCATGCAGCGTAATTTAATTCAGGCCGTTTTCCTCCCCCTCGGCAACCAGTTTCCCTCGCTATTTCTGTCTACCAGCATTGTTTCCAGTTTTGGCATTGTTTATTCAACTTTTTTTTCTCTCTTTTTTTTTTGTTGTAATTTTTTTTTTCAACCAACCGTGGAAACTACCCCCCTTCCATTAAAATGTCTGCTCTTGTTATCACATATCACAATGTAATTACATGTTAATGAGTAACTAGCCAACTGAGAGCATACTTTTCTCATTCTGCACAACTGTTTCGCATACCTCCGTATTACGCGTTATTTAGGAAATATGGGAACAACAGGCTTGGATTAATCTCCAACTGCAGGGGTATGAGGAGATTTATAAATGTACTCACTCGAGTTTGTATTTAGAATATCAGCATCATCATAAACGGACACATAATATAGTGAATTGGTTTGGTGACGGAGGCGGAGAGCGGGGTACGTTATAATACGAGGAGCAATTCACAGTATAAGCTTGTGCTTTGTTTATGCCAGTATGGATTAAAATAATGAACTCGATGGGCCGCAGTTCACAGGCAAATATTCGAGAGCCAGATGAAGAGATTTACCTCGCGGAAATTACGCGCGCATTAGCGTTCGCGAGGCACCACGTGAAACACAAATGTTGGGGGATATGAGGGTGAGGAGTGAGGATGGCGAGGGGGTGGAGCGAGGGAGGGGGACGGGGGTGCTGGATAGAGGGGTCACAGAGTGTGCGCTGAACGGCAATATTCGGGTTGTCGGAAACCATCGATATACATAAATGTTGACCGGCCAAACTGTGCACCCGAGAATATGGCCGTACATTCGCCACCGAAATTTTACGAGCCATGGAACTTTGAACAATTTCATTCTCTTCCTTTTCGTTTAAGTTTATTCCAATTGCAGAAAACCACAAACTATTGACTACACTGTTTGAAAAACGTGATTTAGGAGAAAAAAGTGATGAAATTGCAGGTTTCACTGAACATTCAGTAAAATGTTAGAGAATTTAATTTATTTGAATTCCCAGTCTAATATGAATATTTAATGCCAAATTATATCGAATTTTCAGTGAAATCTGAAATTTCATGATTTTTTTTCCCCCTAAATCACATTCAGTGTTACTGTCCCGAAAATTTAAGAATATATTTACGGGAATTTTCTGGTTTTCTATTAATTTTCCGGGAAAAATGGAGCTGAAAAATGGAATTTATAGTTCTCTTTGATTTTTCCACAAAATTCTGAATTTTCAATGACCAAATTCCGTAAAATTTCAGTGGTAATTAAATTCGATAAAAATTTTTAACAGTGTATTTTCATTGTATCTCATATGAGATACACCCGGACTGGATGGTAGAGCTAGAAAAAAATGAAGAAAAAGACAGAGCAAAAGTAAAAAATCTTGAAATTTTTAACAACGAATAATTTACATGGAATTTCCATTGACCTTGTTATTAATAAATCAGTCAATTTTCTTGAATATCCAATGGAATTTGATTTTTCAGGTTCATATGACAATGAAAATGCCTGAAAATCGCGAAAAATCCGGTAAATTTTCTTCTGAATTCTTAATCTCTTGAAAATTCAATTGAAGCTTAATTTTCGCGGTGAAAATCCAAACTGTTACTGAAAATTCCACGATCATTCATCCTGAAAAACATAATTTTACTGAATTTCCAAGATGAATCAGGAATTCCACGAGCAATTTAGTCTGAAATTGAATTCAAGTTCCGAATATTGAAAATTCAAATGCATCTGTTACTTAAATTTCAAAAAATCTCTAACAGTGTGCTTAGAGCCTATTTTATTATCCTTTCAGAGGTTCTTTACATTAAGAAAAGAATACTATCCACAATCTAAAACCATCGATGTGTTATAATGTGGAAACAACGTGTATATTGTCGGGTAATTTGATAGTTGTAGGAAGGCCGCCCTGCAATAGAGTTTCACGATGTGGTGAAACATTGGTGAGCTTTGTAGACCAAGTGATAGCGTCAGATGGAGCAAGTGAGATATATGATGACCTCTGCTCCGACGGGCACTTTCGGTATATTTGCTTTGATTCCCCAAGTTTCACGCAAGTTAGTTTACCACGATGTTACCATTCAACTTCATCTCCTTCTCTACTCCCATCTATCCAATAGTATTCTCGGTGTCTGTAGGTACGAGATATCTTGAATTGAGCCTCAATGGCAGCGTACCATCCATTGACGTTTCAGTTAATCTGCCGCTGTAAATCAAATCCTACCGAGTGACATGCGATGGGCATCTATTTAATTTAATTTAGCTGCTAATCCAGTTACTAAATAAATTGAAGATTAGTTATATCACAAAAAAGACAGCTATCTATTTTTTTAATCGTGAAAATGATTTTTGTTTATGATATACACGCAGAGAGTTGACTTTGTGAATATAAAACATTATTCATTAATTAGTTAATTAATTAAACATCAAAGGACAAAGGCTGTGCATCGAGTTGGGTGGGCCGTCAGTTATCACCAGCTAGCTACCGCGGAAAATGGTGGTAATGAAACGAGACTCGTTTACCCTGTGTTATACACCTCTATTATGGCTACAAGTTTTCAAATTAATATTACAAGTTCAATTAAACTTCTGACCCATATATTCCTCCAGCAAATAATCTGTTGATAAAGAAAGGTAAATCGCAAAAGTGCTGAATAAAATGGCATTTTTTTCCTCTTCTCCACATGTATTTTGATAAAAGTAATAAAAAAAAAATATAACAAGACAAGACATTAAATTGACCCCCCGGTAATATCACATTTGGGATACGTAGCGAATTTGTGACCCAGAACGATAAAACTCAAGCGTACGTCTCCTTTGGTAGCATTACACGCGCGTTTGTACTCGGTGCATCGCACCACCTGGAGTTTACGATGTGTCACGCCGACCTGGCCATCCAGGATGCGCTCGCTTTCCGGTACGTTTCCCACGCATTCAAGAACACGTCGCATCAAGAAAACACAGAAAGAATAAACAAACAAAAATCTCTTTTATTTTGTGTTTTGCTGCTGCTCATTTTATTTTATTAGTTTCGGTTTTATTCTCTTTTTTTAAAGGCATCTCTTTGTCTTCTTTTTGTCGGTGTGCGCTTGGGAATTTTGTCAATTTTGGGATATTTCCGAGGGGGTACGCACTCCCGAAGTCATGGCGCCACTCTGGCATGAAATCATTCCGAAATCATCTCCGAAATCATGTGAAATCGTCGGAAATCAATGAAATTACCGAAATCAGAGGCGCGCTGCCGTAGTGATTTGGAAATTGACACGTCTGCCATCGATGATAATAAAATGGAGAAGATGGTAAAATCGACCGCTTTTCATCTTCATTAGCGCATGATTGGTGGAGTAGAATCAAACAAATTCGTTATTATTTGGCAGTTATTATTGCTAGTTTTGATTTTCATAATTGGACACAATCCGTTTTGTCCCCCCTCCATTATTTATTAACTTTATGTTTTTGAAATCACTGATTTCGAATTGATGAAATCATCTCGCGTGTGACGCTCGAAATCACTGAAATCACTTGAAATTAACTTCATTTCGAAATCACGGTGTCACTCAATTGTGGAGTGAGTAGTCCCTCGGATACACTGTTAGAAAATTCCTCTTGAAATTTCAAAAGAAAAAGCTTGAAATTTTTAACAACGACAAAGTTACATGAAATTTCTGTAGAATTCTTCATCGACGAATCAGTTAATGTCTTGAATATTCAAGTATTTCTCGATTTTCAGGTCCATACGGCACTGAAAAACTTTGAAAATGTTAAAATTGAATTTTTAAAATGGTTAAAATTGAATTGAAAATTGAATTGTATGTAATTTCAATTTTTACGATGAGTTTGAAAATTCAAGCTTTCATTGAAAAATCAGTGATTCTTTAACAATAAAAACCCAATTTTCTTGAATTTTCAAGATGAATAAGAAATTTGGTGAACGTTTTCATTTGAAATTGAATTCAAACTCACAACATTGAGAATTCAGAGGAAATTTCTAAAAGTGCATTTCGGTCTTTTTGGCCTGATTTTCTTCTCTAAAATGTCAAAGACGAAAGGAATGGGCTAGTTTTTGGAAAGCAACATGTAAACATGTCGTTAAAATCAATGATTTATATCGCACTATCGCCAATTTTCACAATGACACCGTCTGAATGTATTTCCGGTGGTGGTTCACACAGTCCCCCTCATTCTTTGTGTAC